AATGAATAAAATGTTCAAATGATAGAAAAATTCAAAACTATCAAATGTAATATATATATATATATATATATATATATATATATATATATATATATATATATATATATATATATATATATATATAATATATATATATATATATATATATATATATATATATATATATATATATATATATATATATATATATTATATATATATATATATATATATATATATATATATATATATATATAAAATGTTCAAAGTGATCGAAAATGTTCAAAACGATAAAAAACGTTCAGAATTATAAAAATGTTCAATCATTATTGTTATAAATGTAATAGTAACAACAATTATAGTAATGATTATAATAATGATAATGATGATGGTAATGATGTTAATAATAATAGTAATATTGATAATAATAATGCTAATAATAAAAACAGATATGGAAAAAATAGCAATGATTATAATAAAATGATAACAGTATTATAATTAATAATAATATAATAATTACCAATATTATTGCTATAAAGATAATAATGAAAATGATACTATTAATGATAATGAAAATGATATAATGATGATAATAGTTATAATTATAAAAATAATAACAATAACGATGATACCAATAATAGCAATTATAATAATCGACATTAATAATTAAAGTAATATTAAAAAGGATAAAATTCATAAAATTAATAATTATAATAATAATAATGATAATGATAATAATAACAGTAATATCATCATCATTATTATTATATCACTTCTTTACTATTATTGATAATAATAGTAATAATAATAATGATAACAATAATGTTCATAATAATATTAATATTATTAACAGTGATAATGATAATAGTAATAACAATAATAATGATTATTATTATAATAAGATTATAAAGTTGATGGTAATGATTATCATAATTGTTATGATTATCACCATCATCATAACAATAGGGATAATAATATTGATGATAATCATATTCATACGCATAATAATACTTATACCCATTATAATAATGATAATGATAATTAACATTACCATTATCATTGGCATAGTTTTATTATTAATGATAATAATAATAATAACAATGACAAGAAATATCAATGATAAAAACATTGATAATGATCCTTGTGATTATAACAATAATAGTAAAAATAGCAATAAATAGATAGTCAAAATAATGATAATAATGATAATGATATCAATCATCATAATGAAAATAATAATAATAATAATAATAATATTAGTAATGATAATAATGATAATAATAATGATAATAATGATAATAATAATGATAATAATAATAATAGTAATAGTAATAATAATAATAATAATAATAATAATAATAATAATAATAATAATAATAATAATAATAATAATAATAATAATAATAATAATAATAATGATAATGGTAATGGTAATGATAATAGTGAGGATAATAATAATAGCAATCATAGTAATAATAATCATGATAATAATAATAAGTAAAATAATGATAATAATGGTGATGATGATATTTGTTATTGATATTATTATTGATATAATTATACTGTTAATGTTAATAACAATAATATTTATGATAATAATAAGGGAAAACCATAATAATTATTATTGGAATAGCAATAGTAACAATAATATTCATTGCTGTTATTATAGTACCAGTAGTATTAGTATCAATAATGAAAATAATGGTAATAATAATCATAAAAAATTACCATTATCATTATTATTAATAAATTTATTGCTATTATAACAATAGGAATTGTAATAATAATACAAATAATATTTATAACAAGGATAATATTAATGATGATTATAATAAAGATAATTATGATAATAAATAGTGATAATGATTATAATAGTAATAATAATAATAACAATGATAATGATAACGAAAACGATAATAATAATGATAATGAAGATGATTATTATTATTATAATAATCATAATAATAATAATAATGATAATAACCATAATACTACTACTGACAATAAGGATAAAGATTAATAATGATAATAATAATTAATAATAGCAATAACAATAATAGTAATGATGATAATAATGACAAAATTATTAATAATAACGATAATAATAAAGGTAATAATAATATTAATGAAAATAAGGATAATGATGATGATGAAAATAATAACAATAATGATAACATAATCATGATCATAATCATAAGATTGAAAAGAATTATAGTGAATGATAATGATGGAAAGCGATAATAATGATGATACAAAAATATTCATGATAATGACGATAATAACAATAATAATGATAGGAACGAAACCAGTGATATTGAATGTTAATGATAAAACAAGAGATGATAATAACAATGACTGGTGTTGATGATGGTGACGATGGAAATAGTAATGATACTGATAATGATAACTATAGTAATAATAATATCAATGTTAAATATGACTGTAATAATCAAGCTGACAATGATAAGAATAATGATCTTGATGATGATAGTAACAGTAATGATAATAATGATAATGATTT